CCAGCCCGGGGTCATCACATGTGGTTGCCGCAAGCCCGCCGGCCATTTCTCGCTCTAGCCCTCTGTGTGTGACGCTGTGTGTTTCGTTGTGAAAGCGAAACTACTTTGTTTGGCCTTCCAAAAGAGGACACAACTAGAAATAAGTGGTTAAGTTGTATTTACAACACTGTACCAGAACAGTTCAAACCAAATATTTAGATGTGTGCAGTGCATTTTATGGAGGACTATTTCCTGATCCTGGTAGAGTAGACCAGTGTTTCCCAACCTTTTTAATCGCGGCACCCTTTGGAAATTTTAACAAACTTGTGGCACCCTACAAAATTAATTTTGTCACAATATTTGAATTTCTAACTTCGATATGATCATTTGAAAAGTATAGATATTCGGTACAACAGGGAAGAACTGCAGAATATAATGTCATACAGATATTTTTAATATTATTTAAAAAATGTTGTCCATCAATGGTGGCAATCAGTAGGCTAATTTCTAATGAAGAGACCAATTTATATGACAGATTTTAATGTAGGCTTTTATACATAAAAATATTTACACGGCACCCCTGCTCTCGACAGACGCGGCACCCCGGTTGGGAAACACTGGAGTAGACTACAATGCCGGCTGTTCTGACTCACAGTCTGTAAGTACGTTTTCATATTTAAAGAATTTGCCACTGACGATTCAAACGCAAGTTTTGAGCAGTGTAGAGTAGCACTTGTTGTTTGTGATTTCTCCGATCACAAATGCAAGCATGGTTTTATGTTTACGCGGCGCAATGCAACGCAATGTGTAAAAAAGACAGTATAAATCATTATAATCCGTAATTATGTCCCCACTGGATGCAACAAATACCTCGTTTGTAATGGGTTTTAATGTTTTTGTCTCGTCTCTCCGGCCGGACACGGCATCACAGTATGGTAAGTAGTGTTGGGTCGTTCTTGAACGATTCGTTCATTTTGAACGAATCTTTAATGTGACTCGGGAGGAACGAGTCGTCTCGGGGAGTGATTCGTTCAGTCGTGCATGCGCAACATCCTATAGGTTCTGTACTGGAATTAGTCAAGTAGTTCACCTGTTTCGAGTCTTCGGGTTTTTCGAGTCACTCGTTCATCAGATTTCACTGATTTACAAAGGAAGCGCTATCAAGGTACGGAACGGCCGAGCATCGCAGCATCTCGTTCCCCTACTCAGGGAACTAAGGTTACATACGTAACCGAGATGTTCCCTCTCATAGGCTCACTTCGATGCTGTTATGACGTCATCGCTTTGGGAACGCTATACAATAACGCCTGACGTAGAAGACCAAGGAAAGCGTCTGCTCAAGCGGATAAGACCCGGGAGCCAGGAACCATCCCTACGTCCAGACTATAAAACTTGATGAATGTGCTAGGAGAGAACCATCCTGCCGCAGAACAAACATCTTCCGTCGAAGACCCTTTAAAGAAGACCTGAGAAGAAGCCACTGCTCTTGTAGAATGAGCACGCACCCCCAGAGGCAAAGTCAAGCAACGCGCCTCCACTATCCAGTATGACATCCGCTGTTTAGTGACAGCAGAACCTCTGCTCTTACCACCAAAACACACAAATAACTGATCAGATCTACGCCACTGAGCCGAGCGGTCAACGTAGGCCCTAAGTGCCCTAACCGGAGAGAGATTCAGGGTAACTGACCCCTCCTCAGCTGGGGAAAAAGCCTCAAGGACCACTTGCTGAAAGCGAAACAGAGTTGAAGTGACCTTCAGAACTTAATCAGGCCTAGGTCGCAAAAAGACTTTTATCAGTCCTGTTGCAAAGTCCATACACGAAGGACTAATGGAGAGAGCCTGCAGGTCCCCTACCCTCTTAAGGGAGGATAAAGCCACCAAAAGAACCTAACCCTAACCCACCGTTTCGAACCCTGCATAAAACGTGACACCAGGGTGTGACGACCAACCGAACGGTTTATGTGCCAGTCTCGATGTACCTCTGTCCAGACTCCACCGACTGGATGTCCTTGATGGACCAGCCCGTAAGGGACGCGTCCGTCGTGACCGTTTTGCGGCAACACAACGTCCCCATCTGGACTCCTTCCAGAAGGAACTGGGGTCTCATCCAGGAGCTTAGAGTACGAGAGCCTTTGCGTGTCGCCGTAATTCTGCGAAGTGGGTGACAGTGATGTGAAATGTTCTGGCTCTTGGTCCACCACTGAAATGGTTGCATGTGAAGCAGGCCCAACTGAACTGCAGGGGACGCTGCCGCCATCAGACCCAACAGCCTGAGACACA